TACCACATTCCAGTATCATCCTGAGAATGGAGGTTAACATTCTATATCATTTACTACTCTTCATTATGGGCCCGTTGCTCTTCTAGACAGGTCTACTTACAATTTACTGTTTCTTAGATTTTTATTTTAATTTGTTGTAGGGCACATGCACTCATCAGAGAGAGAGGGAAAATGAGAAGTTAACCTCCAGGGTGGATGGCTACACTGCAGTTCCTTCTCCTCCATTCTCCTCTTGGAATTTTGGGCACAAACACACATGTTCTCAGAATGTTTTTTTTTTTTTCCCCCCAAGCCACTGGATCTGGGACTCAATACAAACAGTTGGCAATGGGGGATCCAGCCACCTTAACCACCATGCCACTCACTGGCCTTCCTGGAATATTTTTATTTGCACATCTTTTCCATTTCTCTTGGTTAGAATGCTCTTTTACTTCCATGTGTGTGCTGAAGTGTTATTTGTCTTTTCAAACTAATTTTTATGAAAATAATGCATGTACATAGTTTAAAAGTTAAATACTTACAGAATTCTAAAGAAAAAAGGTCCTTTATCCCTTTTTCTCTCTCCAGATTTGTGTTTCTAGAGCAAATACTTTTTATTATTTTAGCTATTTCTTCTATTTACTTCCTTATTTCCGTAAAACATAATTATACTGATGTATCTTTGACCTAACTTCTTATTATGGGAAATGAAGATTTAGTCTTCTTATGCCATATCCTTTCTTAAAAAAAAATGTTATAAGTCTCCCTCTTTGCTAGGGTCCGTGGGGGGAGAAGGTGAAAAAGCACCCCCCTGGCCAATGGCCACACTACAGTCCCTTCTCCTCTATTCTCATCTTGGGATTTGGGGCACATGCACACATGTGTCTAGAGTGTTTTTCTTTTTTTAGTTTTTTTTTTTTGCTATAGGGCGTGCACGCTCGCCAGAAAGAGACAGAAAGAGGGAAAGTGAGAAATCACTTTCCAGAGAGGATGGCCATGCCTCCTCCTCTATCCGATATTGTCGTCTCTGGATTTTAGGCATGCACGCACATTGCCTGGAGTGATTTTCAAGCGACTGGTCGGTCCTACACTTGAACCGTGGTAAGGTATTGGGGGTCCAGCAACTTAACCACCATGCCACTGTCTGGCCCTATGCCATAACCTTTCTAACCTTTCGTCTGTCTATTCTCTCAGTATATTTTGATAGGATATAGAATTTTGAATGAGAAAGAATTTGTACAGAATCTTTTTTTTTTTTTTAAAGAGGTTTTATCTTACAAGGCACGTATGCTTGCCAGAAAGACAGAGAGATAGAAAGAGAGAAATCACCCCCCAGGAGGGATGGCCACACCGCAATCCCTTCTCCTCCATTCTCCTATCGGGATCTTGGGCACGCATGCACACGCACCCAGCGTGAGCTTAAGCCACCGGGTCCGGGACTCAAACTGCGGTTGACTACATGGGAGTTGAGCAACAAAGCCATTACACTGAGTGCTGATCCCAGAATTTGTACAGAATCTTGAAGACCAAACTACATCTCAGTGAACTCACTGTTGTTTTTAGTAATTGCCTCTTTCCTTCTACTGTTATCAAACAAAACATCCTAAGGGCCAGATGTTGGTGAAATGGTAAAATGGGATGTTCTATAATGCCAACCAACATGGTAGGTTAACATGTTTGCCCCTAGACATCTCTCCGGGTATGCCAGGCATGTATGTTCCTGTGATCTAGGGCTAGCTAAGACTGGGGGTGGATAGTGGCATGGGACCCTGTTGGGGGCACTTTCTTTGTCTATGTTTCTCTTGCTCATGGAAGAAATAAAAACTTTAGAAAGTTTAAAGTTTACATAAAAACTTAACAAAATAAAAAAACTAAGCCAGCTGGTAGTGTGATGGTTAAGGTGGCTAGACCCCACATGGCCAACTGTGGGAAGTCCCGGACCTATGGTTTGAGAAACACTCCAGGAGTGTGTGCCTGTGTGCCCCAAGTTCAAGAGCAAAATGGAGGACAGGGATTGCAGCATGACCAAGCCCCATGGGGGGTTTTAGTCTCACTGCCCCCTCCACAAGAGAACACGCCCTCTTGCAGATTAAAACAAACAAACAAACAAACATCCTTTTAATGGTAGGTTCTAGTTCCTTGCCTGCCTTTGATGCTATGATTACTGGAATACACCTACTTCTTTTGAAAAGCTAAACAATATTAGATCATCCTAAATCCCGTTGGATTTCTGCCGTTTTCTACAATTACTAACCTCATCTGTCAGTACCCTCAGATGTAATTAATATGGGCTATTTGGAGCACATTAACAGAGATCCCTGATGTCATCTGAGGAAATGACATTTAAGCTGAGATCTGAAGGATGAATAGGAAAGGCGGGTGAAAGCATTCCCGCAGCACTGGTTGCCCATGAAAAAGCTGCCAGGAGAAAAACTTTGGGAAGTCAAGGAATAAAAGGTGGCCAGCGGGGTGGAGCCTGGTGAGTGAGAGAGAAAGTTGCTAGTTCAGAGCCTTGTAGGTAATGTCAAGCAGGATTTAGGATTTATTTTAAGAGCAGCAGGTAGCTACTGAAAAGCCATAAGCAGGGAGTTACTTGATCTATTTTGTCTTTCAAAGATTTCTGTGGCTGCAGTATGAAGAATGAGTTGGATAGGGCTGACCATTAGGAAGATACAGGTAGAACTGGTCTTAAATAACATCAAGGCCAGCCTTACAGTCGAAAAGAAACTTCAAATGGGCAAAAAAGTAATCATACCATGTATGTTTGAAAGCTCAACAGAGACAGTTGAATTTCTTTTTTGTTTTTGTTTTTAACCACGAGGTGCATGCACTTGCTGGAGAGAGACAGAGAAAGACAGAGAGGGAAAGTGAGAAATCATCCCCCCAGGGGGACTGACCATACCACAGTCCCTTCTCTTTCATTCTCCTCTCAGGATTTTGAGCATGCATGCACACACGCCCAGCATGATTTTCAGGCCACTGGGTCTGGGACTTGAACTGTAGTTACCATGTGAGAGTCTAACACCCTATCCAGCATACCACCTGCTGGTCCCATGAGACAGTTGAATTTCAATTTGCTCATGATAGAGTAATTTTGATCCTACTATATCAGCTTCAATTCTTTCTATGTTTCACTTTTAGTACTAGATGAAAGAAGGGTGTCCTCATCATTGCCCTCCTGCTGGTGCACTGGGTTACTCATCAACTCATTGATCCCAGATGCACTTTGCTCTCCTGGGTGCAGTGTCCTAGTGGTTGTTCTGTCTATTTGCCATGGTGAGAATGCAGAGAGGTCGAGGTCGAGGGTGGGAAACAGTAATAGAGGAGAAGGGCTCCCTAGTGGCTTTTATAGAAAAGGGACGACAGAATCAAAGGTTAAAGGCAGATTTTCCTTTCTTTCCTTCCCTGGGCAGCAAGCATTATCTCCAGTCAAGTTGATAATAAGGACTGAAGACTATTTTCTCTGAATTCCTGCCTGCTGGAGACTGGGGCTCTGCTGCAGTCAGCTGATACACCCGGAAAGCTGGCATTAGGTGTCATGGCTCCTGACAATTTCGGCAGGAGGAAGTTAGTTTTTGCAGTTCTGTTTATGGTGTCGGTCGAATAAAAATTCTGGCCGAAGGTCTGCTTTTCATAGTCATGGACAACAGCTTTCTACAACACCTGGGTTTTCTTTGGAAACTGTGAAGAGGCACTGAAATGAACAAAAATAATTTTTCTTGCCTTAAAAAAACTCACAGAGGAATGACACTAAAGGATGCATGTGAGAAAAGCTCTAAATTCAGGTTGAATTTGGATACAGAACAAAATCACCTTGAATACATTTCATGTTTTGCCGAGCACATTTTGACTTGTATGAAATTGCATTTTTATAGTCAAACAAATTAGTCTGGACCCATGAGTATAGGTGTTGTGCTGAAATAAATTAGGAGGACAAAGAGATAATGGAATTATAATAAAAAATGAAAATACGACCAACAATACTCCTGTATATTGGGGGATCTTTTTTTTCCCCTAAAGTGTAGGTGTGCTTGCCAGAGAGTGAGAGAAGAGAGGAGAAAGGCCCCGCCCCCATGGGGCATAGTCATGCTGCAATCGTCTGTCATCCATCTCTCCTTCCTTTTGGGATTTTGGACATCCACACACAGGTGTATTTCTCAAGCCATGGGATCTAGGACTTGAATTTCACAGTTGGCCATGCGGGACCCAGCTGCCTTAACCACTACACAGAGCCTGCCCACTATATAGGGGATTTTAACATCTCTCATTTTAAACTGCAGCAACAAGACAATGGTCCAGTGCAAATGAATACTGCCAAATAATGTTCAAGTCTCTAATTTTCGAATTGATGTTTGAATCTATAAGCAAAGTACATTTTTTCCACTTGTTTAATAAAACTGAATATGGAAAGATAGTACATATTATTTACTAGCAAGCACTTGCATCCTCAAATGTCCATATTAGCTTAGTCCTTATTTTATCTATTAATAAGGATGTACTTTATTGATAAGGATTTTAGACTTATACCTGCAATGAATAACAATAATCTCTTGTAACACTCAATACCAGTATTTAGACTAGTGCCTGTCACATAGTAGCTGTTCAGCAAATAATCATCAGCAAATGGAATTACAGGAGTTGCTCTCTTCTTTAAAAGCAAACCATTGTGTGAGACTAGAATATCTACAGGAGGATGAAAGCGAAAGGGTCGCAGCATGGCCATGTCCCTTCTTCCCCAGCCTGGCCCCATGATTCCTCACTTTCCAGCTCTCTGTCTCTCCCGAGAAAGCACACATCCTATGGCAGAAAGCTAAATCAATAAATAAATTAGCCAGAAAATAGATTCTATTTGAAATAGCAAAAAGAAAAACCGTATATCTATTTTGTCAATGAAGGAAAATATCCTAATATTTGATTAATATACATTTAACATAAATCTCACAAATCATTAGATATAGCCTCAAACGTGAACAAACAGAAGGAACCATAAAAGGGGAAGAGTTGAAAACAGCAGGTTTTACCTCTTGGCAGTTAGGACAGTCTGGGAACCGACCTTTGGTCTCTTGCGCTTGCACTTTCTGGGGACGGTTCCTCTTGGATCACAGACCCAAGTTCAAACTTTATAGCACGTTCTTGAAGCGCCTTTTGGGTTATTCAGGCGCCTCCGCCTACACATCCTGGGTGTCTGCCAAGATGATGAGTTCTTTTTCTTAGTTTGTCCTGTGCTTCCTTACTGACCTTTCCCTCTACCTCGGACTTTGATCTCTGGACTCTGTCAGTTCCTCTCCAGCCTTCCCACGGTTCAAGGCCTCATTTAACCTCCAGCGATTTCAGGAAAACTTCCTAGATCTCCTTTTTAGACGCAGTGTCGCTCTCCTGTATGTCCTTCAGCACTGAAAACTTTTGGTCCAGCGGGTATTACCCTCTAACATAAGAAAATGCCCAGGAAAGGTTTGTTGAAACAAATCTAAAACCCAGAGGGGAAAAGAGGCGCCTGCGCCCAGCAGTAAAGGCCTTTCACAACCTTAGTCGGGGAGACCCGTTCCATATGTGGGCCACACTCCCAGCTCTAGGCAGGGAGGAGAGAGTGGCGCAGCGGACGTCTCCTCTTAAGTGTCTTCCGACTCCCTTTACTTATTTCTTCTTTACTTTTACACAAGAATCTGCAAGTTTTCCAACAGCCAGAGGCCCCGCCTTAGAGGGTGGTGCTAAAGGAGCTGCTGGGGGCAGGCTTGCCCATTCTCCTGGCAACTTGAGCCTTAGCTTTTATTTTTAACTTTTAAAGTTTCCCAAATGCCAGCTCTAAACTAGAGGCCGAGACTGTACAGCGTTTCCTGGGACGTCTGCGTTTTAGGGAAGGCTCTCAGCATTCGGGGCTTTTCCTAAATGATCCTTTTCATATTTCCCACCAAGCACTCCTGGCCTCCTCCCCCAGTCAGTGCGGAGAACCGCGGTTTCGCCCAGCGGTCTCCGGGGCTTCCTCTTTCAACCCTCCGGGTAAACCCTGGACGGGCGTGTGGGGGAGCTCCCAGCCCGCAGTACGAGGCGGAGCAGCGCGACGGTTAGACTACAGCTCCCAGCCTGCCCCGGGAGCAGGAGTGGGCGGGGCGGG